CACAAGGTGCACCTCTTTTGCGTTTACTGTGATTTTAATGAAAGTTTAGAGAAAAGTAGGCAAAATAGGGTCGCTATGAGTCGCCTACGACTCGATGGCACTTAACAACATAGAGACCAGTTGGTCTCTTGGACCGAAAGCGATGTTACCAAGCCACAGGTGGGTGACTCTAATCCGCGGCCCTAAGGCCTGTCTTTGTTTTTGGTGAAACATTCTTCTAGGTCACATAGCCCTGGTGTGTCCACTTGCCGTACAGAGGCAACTTGTGGTCGCTGTGAAGCTGAACACTGTGACACTGACATGCCAAATGTGATATTGGTTACCCATGGTGGAGTGTTTGGTGGCACTCTCTGGCGAAAACAAGCTTGAAAGCAGGAGTGGCATCCATTTCCATAAATAGCTTGCCTCGGGAAACCCTACAAACATGGAGAAAGGATAAAAGTCATGTAACTGTTGAGGACTTTCGTTCATAGGGTCGCTGTGAATTGCCTATGACTCGATGGCACTTAACAGAAAAGTTGGATTTTAATTTATTGTTGCACATTTTCCTCACTCCCCCAGTTCACTTTTTGCTTTTAAAAATATTCATTGTTGAAATTTCCTCTCTCTCCCCTTCCAGTCCACTTTGCAATGAACCTCTTATTCTGGGCTGTTGTCATACATACAATGCCTAATCATATATTCCTTTCAAACCATTCTTCCCCTCATCTGTTACAATGGTGTTCATTATCCATTCTTTTCCTATTCTTCCTCTAGCCCTCCATGTCAGTCTTACTTTCTAACAGTGGTGTTATACAGTATCTATCCTTTTGTGACTGAGGTATTTCATTTAGCATAATGTCCTCCAGTGTCACCCAAGTTGCGTAATGTTCTACAAATTCATTGTTTTTCGGTGTTGCGTGGCATTTTATTATACCCTACAGAAACCAGTGCTGATACCCAAACAGATGTATATGCACACCCATGTTTATTACTGCTTTATTCACAATAGCAAAGACATGGAAGCAACCCAAGTGCTCATCAACAAATGAATGGGTAGGAAAAGTATGCACCTCTTTTTATGATGTAGTTTTTTTCCCCCAACAAAAAAAAAAGAGAACTGATTATACACTCAATGAGTATCATTGGAGACCAGCCTCAACGTGGTTGCTACACATAGGACCTGGACAGGTCATCTCCCTACAGATTGCTCACAAGTGCAACTCCCTTTTCTGGGCACCAGAAGTCTTTCCTCAATAGCCAAAACTCAATCTCTCCTTGTAGGTCCTAAGCACAGCAGACTCCTAGCTATTTTCCAAATAGATGCCAGGCTCTGCCTTGACTCTGAAACTTTTCCCTTATTGTTTGCTTCCCCTACAAGGTAAGATCTCACCTCCTTTTTCAGCATGACTTACATGAACTTCAAAATCTCTGAGTTACAAGTAGTAACTGTCTTCTCTTGTTTGGCTATATGTATCTCCATCACAGGATTTCTCACACTAATCTAGCACTGTTAACACAGCTGCAAGTCCACTAGAGAACGGGGCAGAGGTCACGGCTTATTAGTCTTTATTTTCACCTTGTTCGCCCCAGTTCTTGGCACAGAGAGCTCAGTACGTGCTGAGTGGCTGGCTGGCTGTTTAGGAACGAGGTTTTCATGGTTAACTCGGCTTCAATGTGAAATTCAAAACAATGGAGACAGGACTCAAACATAGCAGGGAAATAACATACACTTTTAACTCTCAAAATAAATACCAATCAATTTTATTTTATAAATACAGATGCTGAGTTCTCTCCCAATTACCAACAGATCAGTTTCACATGCCATTTATTATTGGTGGTGATTTAAAAAATTATTTAAATAACCGGTTAGGTCAGGATAAATGGGCACCATTAGGACTGCTATAAAAATATAGCTGGATACAATCATCCAAAACTAATATTCTGAGGGGGGAAAAACCCTCTGGAATTTCCAAAGTGGGCAAAGGGAAGTGGAAAGAGAAAACATAATCAAATATTCACTTGATAACATTCGTTGGCTGCTAAGTATTTTAGCTAGGTGAAAATGGAAAGTGCTTTCAGCAATTAAGAAATAGATAAGAGTGTATTTACATTTCAATTTATAGACCCAAAGCAAAAATAAAAAGGTTTCTGGTGACTCCATAGACTAATTAAAATATTAGCAAAAGATAATAACTCATTCTACATTTCCCACTTTGAGCAGAGGCAAAACTAATTCTGCAGCTTTGGAAAATGAACAGTTATTCCTGCAGACATGTAAATACTGTAGGTTACAGACAGGTCATGACAGAAACTGCAGGAATCAAAGTCAGATGAAAAGCCAAAATCCAAATTAAACAAACCCAAACCTGAGTGGTGTTTTGAGGCACACAGCATCAGGAACAGTGTGGACCGAGCAAATGTAAAAATGACTATTGGTCAGCTTTGAGCAATCAGATCACATTCGCACTGCAGAGGTGAGAGGCTGTGAACCCCAGAATCAGAGGTCCAGGAAGGGGAGATGGTGGATGGATGCCCAGAGCTCCAGGCTCCATCTGGCTGTGTAATCCCTGAGGTCAGTACTGTGACCACAAGGACCTGGTCCATGCCCCTCCTGCGTGGCGGCGGGGCCAGATTGGAGCACCTGCAACAGAATGAGCCCACTACCATGTCTGGGGAAATAAAGAACCCGCACGCAGGTCATCGTCACTCTTCAGTACCAACCCAGTCCTTCAGGGCCTTCCTCCTTCGTGCTGTAGATGTGACCTCACTGGAGAACTCGTGCAGCCTGGCCTGAAATATAGGCCCATTTCATTTATTGCACTTTGCTATACTGTGCTTTGTCGGTATTGCCTTTAAAAAACAAAAAAACACACCCCAAATAAGCCACAAGCTGAAGGTCTGTAGTAACCATGCATGAAGCAAGTACATCTAATGCTACCACTTTTCTGACATCAGTTGTTCACTTTGCGGCTCTTAAATTTTGGTAATTCTCATAATATTTCCACCTTTTTCATAATACTATTGCATACTCATTAGGCAATAGGATGGTGTAAATATAGCTTATCAAGGCTTATACACTGGAAAGCAAATGTGTGTAACTTACTGAAGTCTACTTTGTTGCAGTGGTTTGAAACTGAACCCAGCCTATTCCTAGGGTCTGGCTGGATATCCAAAACTGCATTCACCCTCTGTGACTGGGAAAGGAATGATGGTACACTGCACAGAAGCTGTAAGTTTACAAATGGCTTCAGCTCAAGGTCTCGAATAACTTTGCTTTTTTATGTGGAAGCGATGGACTCAAATGAATTTACAGCTTTCCTTCAATTGCTGGAGGCCAGGTCTGTTTGCTAGGTTGCAAATTTCTTTAAACAGACTACAGCAAGGTGAACTATTTCTATTCAACTAAAAAAAAAATCATTGCCATTGAGACATAGCTGATCCTTCACTGGGGTTCCAAGGCCACAAACGGAGCCGCTGCTGGATTCAAACTGCCAGAGACGTGCTACCTTTGGATGAGCAGTGCCACCCCCCTCAGCCTAGACCATCCGAGCTTTCTAGGCCATTTTACAATGTAGCTTTAAGTCAGAGCCTAAGGATGCCCAGTAGAATATGGAATTCCAAGTTAGATGGAGGTGGCTGTGACGCACACATGTAACACATGTACACAACATGTAAACTCAAATGAAGTCAACCTCAGCTTCAGTACAGCCATGACTTTTGGTCAGGCTGGCCTTGTCAAGACGTAGCAAGCACATGGACACACATGTTCATGAGGAAATTCAAAGCTGGGGAATAAAAAATCAGGTCAGGTGAAGTAAACACAAATTTTATTCTTCTATATAATACATGTATATGTGGATAAATTTTTCATAAAGAGCTTGCAACCCTGAGGCGATGTCCTTGGGTACATAAAATATAAAGCAATAGCAAACAAAATCTAAATTCCAGGAATGACAAAGTGGAGGTGAAAAACATAATTCAGTATTTATGCAATTGCACACATACCAACAGTATTCTATGCTTCGTTTAGTATCTTACTCCAACTATCCTAACTGCCTTGCAGTTTGCACATCAGATAACGTTGACTCTCTACACAGATTTCATCATATACAATGCCTTCTTTCAGACTGAAATTTAATAAATTAATGTGGGTTTACAGAAAGGATTTTGTCTGGTGAGTGCACTGTCAGAAAGCACGCTTTACTTTAGACCACAGCATCTGCCCACATCAGAACTTGAGGCCCCAGAGTGGACTGGACGTTATCTGACTGCAGTAACCCTGAGGTCCTTCAGAATTCTCTGGGAGCCTCCAGAGGTGAGGCTTTTAACATGTTGCTGCACACTTTTAAACTGACGACCGTGCTTAGAAACACAGATAGCTGTCATTTGCGGCAACGTGTTAATCTAATTTTTGAGGGCTATATCAAGGCTATGGCTACTGAGAGGAGGTGAAAGGTCATGGCTACTGAGTTAAAAACCAATAGAAGAGTGACTTTGATACGCCCATTTTTCAGGATGCAGAACCCACCCATGGTGAAGAGGGACCAACAATGGTGTCTGCAGGTTGACTGTGGGCTGGGGCAGAGGGAGGGCCACCGTGCTGCTTAATCATAACCTGATGGATGGGACCTATTTCTGAATATTCAATTTTTCCAAAGTTGTATAAACTCTGTGCAGGGCAAATGCTTATGAGAAACTAATAGGGAATTCATTATATTATTTATATATATTATCATCTTCCCTCTGAAGAAACATAGAAGTGTAAATAAAAGCAAACAAGTACCTATAAGGTGACTTGGGCTATAAGCTCTTCCAAACCAGACAGTGACTTTTGCCTTAAAACAATCATCTAGCCTGAAAAGCGGGCTATAAGCTCTTCCAAACCAGACAGTGACTTTTGCCTTAAAACAATCATCTAGCCTGAAAAGCACATCTTGAAAGCAAAATCTAACTTTGTCTGGCCCACGGTACACAATGATCCTGAGTCTTTCCTCAATTTTCAAAATTCATTTTTTTCTGAGGAATATCCTCCATTCATATTCATTTTGTTCCATAATTATTACAAAGGGGAAGTGCAGCTTTATCCTCATTTGCAGCAGCAACTCTGTCCTGGTCCTTCTGAGCACGTCCGTCTGCTCCCTTCACTTCTCGGAACTCCGACGTGGCCGGCGGAAGCTGGACATGTTTTCATTCAGTGCATAGATCCTTCGGGAGAACTCTTCAAATTCTCCCAGAACTTGTTCGTCACACTCCACGGCCACGGCACTGTCCACTGGAATGCAGTTAAATGCTTCGAGCTGATCTCCTGAGGTGAAGCCTGTGGCTTCCAGCCCAATGATTTCTTCCGCTTGTTCCACGGTACAACAGAGCTCAGCTTCCGGAACAGGGTGGAACTCACCCGGCAGCTGGGCGTCTGAGGTGCCAGCCTGCTCGCTGGGCAGGAGAGTGCCATTCACCGTGGTCAGAGGGTCCGAGGAAGCTGCTGCTTCTGGTTCCTGACTGGGATTCACACTTACAGGGCCTCTATTTAAGCTGTTATCCAAATCTACCCCTTTTTTCTTATTTTCTTTGGAGAAGTCCAGGGAAGTATCCAAGGAGGAGGACAGTGATGATATCTTTCTCTCGGACTCGACCATGGAGGGGATGGTGGGTGCAGGCTGGACCAATGCAGAGTTGTAACTGGGAGGAGGCGTTTTGTACTGGAGTCTCTCATTCTCTGAGCTGGCCCGTTTTCGGTGTCCTTTGTCTGGTGAAGGGATCCCTCCAGAGAAGCCCACTTCTGCACCCCCAAATATGGAGCTTTGTCTCTTTGGAACAGGGATTGCGCTGGAGGTGTGATGTCTGTCACTAGAAGACAAAAACGAGACATTATTTTTTTTACTTCAAAACTCAGTTTAAGCCTTCTTTCTGCACCTAGAGACATGAAATAGTATATTTAGATTTGCCATAATAAAAGCAGATCATAATCAGTTTTAGACAGTATTAATTGTAGTGTCCGGATAAAGAAGTAATACGAAGCATGCTGGGTTCAATTTTGGGAACTCCCTTCAAGAAGGGTGCAGGCATTCTGAAATGCATTCAGAGGAGAAAGGCCAGGGCAGGGAGGAGGGCCAGAAACCATTCCATCTGGGGAAAAGCTGAAGTAACACAAGGAACTGGATCTGGAAAGAAAAATACACTTGGGATATAATCAACATCATATGTCCGAAGGGCTATCTATATTTTTAACTTCTGTTATTAATAACCAACCTTATTTTATCTTCTCAAAGCAGTCACCTCTACCCAGCAGAGCTGACTTGCCCTTGTTGACTCAATGAGTTAGTGGTGAGGCAAGGACAAGAACCCATGACTAAGGACTCCACGAGCAACAGTCTTCCAAGTACCAAGTGCTAATCATCTTTCATTGAAGAACTAGCTGAGAGAAGCCTAAAAGTACATTCATGAAAAAAGAAGGGGGGGAAAAAATCCCCAAAACTGCAACAACAAAAAAAATCAACTTGGGGAATGATGCCTTCTTTACAAGGCTAGATTTTTTACAATACTCGATCTTCAGTGCCTTCTTTTGAGCCTGACTTACTTGTTGGGAGGATACTTTTGAGTCGGCAATAACAATTACTGTTCAACTATACAAAGCATTGTAGTTTCTGAAGTAATTTCATATCCATCACTCAGTCCTCACAAAAACCCTGCCAATAAAGCACAGTACCAATTATTGTTCACAGGGCCGAAATACTAGTCAATAGGAGGAGAGGACCCAGATTCTGGCAATGACAGTCACGTTACACACTGACCATAATTCTAGACGCTGGACTTGGATAAAGTTAGTCAGCTTCAATTCAACTCCATGAGCAGACTGAGCCCGGACACAGGTGCAAACACAAGATCCATCTGACTTGAGATCTTCAGAAGAGACTCACAAACAGAAGCTGGTTGACAAAGGGTAACTACTAGGCAGGAGCTGAGGCCTTGAGGCTCGACTCGGACCCACCCACTCACTCAACCAACAGCTACTACATGTGCCCTGGGGAGAGGACACGCGAACACACTAAGCTCTGACTCTGAGCTGCTTCTAATTTTGCAGGAAAAACTCGGAAACCCAAACTCATGCTGTCTAGTAGATTCCAACTCACTGAGACCCTACAACAGAGCAGAAGGATCCCACAGGGGCCCCCAAGGCTGCAGACACTGTCTCGTCCTCCTGGTGTGTTCAAACCATGGACCTTACGGTTAGCAGCCCAACGCTTAATCCATTGTGCCATTAGGGTGCCTTTAAGGAAGAGACATACATAACTACTTAAATATATTTTCGAAATACAACTGTGAGAAGTGTCCTGAAAAAGAAGATACCTGGGACCCCTTCCACCTGAGTCCACAACTGTGGGTCCCGGACCCAGAACCCCTCTCCCTCTTCTCCTATGCTTGGGTTTTTCTCCAATGCTAGATTATACCTGTGGTTTTAGACACTTCAGTAGGGGTGTCTCCTTGAGAAAAGGCAAGCTCTAATTCACGAGCCTGTCAGGCTCCCCTTTCTTACCAAATGTGCTGGTGCCAGGAGAATTCATAATTAGAGGTGGTTGCTGAGGCACATGCAGAACTGGCAAAGAGATCAGTAAACTACCATTTTTACTGCTTTAAAAAACCAAAACGAAACAGAGCAAACCTGCAGGCCTTCATTTAGGTTTTCAGGTACCATGTTGTCAGAACTCACAGTAATTTAGTCAAATAGACATTTTTGTCAACCTGGTTGTTTTTACTTTGCCACCTGCTGACAGTGACCCTCATTAAATGCTTGTCCAGGGCAGCTAGCTAATCAAAACAGCATGTCACCATCACCCACGGATGAACTGAGCTTTTGGTTACTGTTCCAGCCCAGAGGCCTCCAGGTCAGCAGTGGGCCAGATCTACACTAACAGAGCTGTCGCTGGCCACCAAGTATTTGACCACTCACAGCTGTACAATTGTCCTGGACTGCCCAGAGCCGCAGGTCTGGGCACACCGAGTGTAGCTGACACAAAGTAAGGGGAATGTTGAAGGCCTCTTTCACTTTAAAACTGACCCAAAACATTGCTCATAAATATAAGGAAATGACACCCCTTCCTCCCAACTACAAAGGGATGAGAATTACCATTTTTCTGAGCACCATGATGTTCCCAGCACTGCCAGGGGTTGTGTGCAACCTCTAATCCACGTGGGAAAGGCAGGCAAGCAGTGGTGGGGTGGCTGGTCGCAAGGCTGGAGAGCTGCAAGTGAACTAGATCTGGTGTCTCTAGGCTGCCATGTTGCATCCTATAGTCAGATGCAACCTACATTTACTAAGTGCTATTGTATATAGGCTCCTTGGAGGTAAGGATTCTGAGGCTCTGTCTAACATATTTTGGACATGTTGTAAGGAGGGACCGGTCCTTAGAGAGGGACATCATGCTTGGGAGGGTGGAGGGACAACGCAGGAGGAGAAGGCCCTCTACGAGGTGGATGGATTCTGTGACTGGGATAATCGGGATGGGAGTGTCAGAGACAGTGCGACTGGCACAGGGCAGAGCAGAGTTTAGGGCTGTTGTACATAGGGTCGATATGAGTTGCAAGTGACTTGATGACACATAAGAACAGCAACAATAACAATGAGACACTAACTTAATATACAGGCCTTCTCTTTTAACCCTATTAGAATTGACTTGATGGCAACAAGTTAGGTTTCAGGTTTATCTTATCTACCTAACCCTACAGATGTTACTGTTAATTTAATGTTGTTGTTAGGTGCTGTTGTATTGCCTGCGGCTCATAGCAACTCTATGTACAACAGCTCTGAGCCCTACCCTATCTTGAGCCAATTTCATTGTCTCCAACGCACCTAACTCCATTACCCCAGTTGTTGAGTCAATCCATCTCTTCAAGTGTCTTCCTCTCTTGTGCTGTCTCCCTCTACCCTTCTGAGTATGATATCCTTCTCCAAGGGCTGGGCCCTCCTGGCAACATGCTCAAAGTATGTGAGACAGAGGTCCTTTAAGGAGCAGCTTGGTTTCACTCTCTCTAGGACTGATCTGTTTGTTCTCGTGTCAGTCCATCGTATGTTCAGTACTCTCCTCCAGCATCACAACTCAAAGGCATCGATTCTTCTTCCATTATCCTTAGTCACTGTCCAGTTCTCTGATGCATAGCAAGCAACTGTGAAGATCATAGCTCAGATCAGGTGCGCTTTAGTCTCCAGACTGACATTCTTGCCCCTCAGTACTCTGGAGAAGTCCTTGACAGCAGATTTCCTAATGCAATTAGTCTTTTGATTTCCTGACTGCTGGTACTAAGAGTACTGATGGTGCACCAAGCATGCTGAAATTGTTAACAATCTCAACCTCTTCTCCGTGATGCTGCCAATTGGCCTAGTGGCGAGAATCTTTGTTTTCTTGATATTGAGCTTCAGTCCATATTGAAGACCACAATCCTTGGCTTTCTGCAGTGAGTGTCTCAGGTTCTCCTGTTTTAGCAAGCAAGGTTGTGTCATCAGCATAACACAGGTTATTGATGAGTCTTCCTCCAATCCTGATACCACATTCCTCCTCAAAGAGTCCAGCCTCCTGAATGATCTGTTCTGCATACAGGTTGAAAAGGTACGGAGATAGGATATATCCCTAGCATCCTTGGCATATACCTTTCCTGATTTTGAACCATGCAGTGTTCTCTTGACTCTGTTAGGACACCTGCTTCCTGATCCAAGTATAGGTTTCACATGAGCACTATCAAGTGTTCTGGGATTCCCATTCCTCTTAAGGTTAGCCACAATTTATTGTGATCCACACAGTCAAATGTCTTTGTATAGAAAATGAAACACAGATGGACATTCCTCTGGTACTATCTGCTTTCAGCTAAGATCCTTCTGACATTGGCTATAATGTCTCTAGTGTCATGGCCTCTTCTAACCCCAACTTATACATCTGGCAGTTCTCTGCTGATGTGCTGCTCCAGTCATTTTTGGATAATCTTCAGCAAGGTCTTGTTTGCTTGTTACATTAATGATATTGTTAGATAATATCCACATTGTTGGATCACTTTTTTTGGGGAATGGGAATAAACATGGATTTCTTCTAGTCAGTTGGAGAAGTAGCTGTTCTCCAAATTTCTTGGCACAACAGACACTAATGTGGAGACTGATATTTCTCTGACAATCTGATTTTGTGGGATCATTCTTCAGTTGACTTTGAGGTGTTTTTTTTTGGGGTGTGTGTGTGTGTGTGTGTGTGTGTGTGTGTACTGTCAAATCAGATCTGACTGGTAGAGGAGCAGAGCATCTGGTGGATTAAAACTCTTCACCTCTGGGACCAGTAGCCAGGAAATAAAAAAAACATATTGCGATGGGAAAGTCTGCGGTTAGGGACCTCTCTAAAGTACTCAAGAACAACGGTGTCTCTCTGGAGACTAAGGTCCGCCTGATATGGGCCATGGTTTTTGCAATCACTTCTTATGCATCAGAGAGTTGGACAATGACTAGGGAGGATAGAAGGAGAATTGACGCCTTTGAGCTGTGGTGCTGGAGAAGAGTATCGAATGTACCATGGACTGCCAAGAAAACAAACAGATTCCAGAGAGGGTTAAACCAGGCTGCTCCTTGGAGGCAAGGATTCTGGGGCTTCGCCTGACATACTTTGGACATGTTGTAAGGAGAGACAGGTCTTTGGAGAGGGACATCATGCTGGGCAGAGTGGAGGGACAGCGCAGGAGGGGAAGACCCTCTATGAGGTGGATTGATTCAGTGACTGGGGTAATCGGGATGGGTGTGTAGGAGGCAATGAGATTGGCACAGGATAGAGCAGGGTTTAGGGCTGTTGTACATAGGGTCGTTATGAGTCGCAAATGGC